GCATGGGATGTTGCGGAGGCGTGTGGATGGGTAAGGCTGGCCCAGCCGGCCAGGGTTGGGGGAGCACGGGGGGCAGGAGCCCTTCCTGGGGTGCCAGGTTGTCCCCACTGTGGTGGGGGAGATGACAGCTCGGCACAGGCTCCCCTGGAGGGATTGAGAAAGGGGTAGGTTGGCGTTAGGTGTGCTCGTGGGTGTCTTGTCCCCATGGCAGAGGGTGAGGGGGACTCCTTGTCCTGGGTGGGGTTTGCTGGTGTCCCCCAAGGCCCCTTCCTTGCCCTGCCCTGATTTCCTTGCTCATGCATCCATCCATCCATCCATCCATCCATCCATCCATCCATCCATCCATCCATCCCCCCATCCCTCCCTGCCTGCACCCACCCAGCTCTCCATCCACCCACCCCTCCATCCACACACATCCCCATCCTGGCCCTACCAGGGCCAGCTGTCCCCTGGGCTGGTGGTGACCCCGTGTCCCCGGCCCAGGCACCTGGAATGGCACCACGAAGGTGGCAGTGAAGACGCTGAAGCCGGGTACCATGTCACCTGAAGCCTTCCTGGAGGAGGCTCAGATCATGAAGCGGCTGCGGCACGACAAGCTGGTGCAGCTCTACGCCGTGGTGTCCGAGGAGCCCATCTACATCGTCACCGAGTTCATGAGCCAGGGTGGGTTGGGGGCACTGCCCAGGGACCCCCCAGCTTTTCACCTTCCACTCGACCAGGTTGCTCCAAGCCCCATCCAACCTGCCCTTCAACACTGCCAGGGATGGGGCAGCCACAGCTTCCCTGGGCAACCTGGGCCAGGCTCTCACCACCCTCACACCCAACAATTTCCTCCTCATGTCCAACCTCAATCTCCCCTCTGCCCCTTTTAATGCATCCCCCCTTGTTCTCTCTCTCCCTGCCCTTGTCAAAAGCCCCTGGCTCTTCTGCAACCCTCACCCTGCCTGGGCAGGGAGTGGGTCCCTGGGGCCTGGCAGGGGAGGGCACCCTTAGGTGGGCACAACTGTCTCCTGGACCCTTTGACCGTCCCCCTCTGCCCACAGGCAGTTTGCTGGATTTCCTGAAGGATGGGGACGGTCGCTACCTGAAGCTGCCCCAGCTGGTGGACATGGCTGCCCAGGTACCCATGGGCTGGGCTGGGGTGGGGCTGAGCAGGCATGGCCTACATTGAGCGGATGAACTACATCCACCGGGACCTCCGGGCTGCCAACATCTTGGTGGGGGACAACCTGGTGTGCAAGATCGCTGACTTCGGCCTCGCCCGCCTCATCGAGGACAACGAGTACACGGCACGGCAGGGTGAGCCAGATGGGTGCCCACTGGGGGCTTGGGGGGGATCACTGCCCTGGCCCCTCCGTGCTGCCACCCACCACGGGCCTGGAGATGGTGACCCCCGGTGCTTGGTGTCCTGGGTGCAATGGGCACCCCAGGGAATGGGGGCTGTCCTGGATGATGGGTGTCCCAGAGGGTGGGGAATGTGGGTGATGGGTACTCTGGGTGATGAGTAGCCTGGGTGTTCTGGGTGATGGGTGTCCCAAAGAACAGGTATCCTGGGTGATGGGTACCCTTGGTGATGGGTGCCCAAAGGAATGGGTGCCTTGGGTGCTGCATGTTGTGCCAGTGCAGGATCTTCCCATCATAGGGCAGCCAGGGTGCAGGACACCCTCAGTACAGGGTGCTCCAGGTGCAGGGTACCTCTGGTGTGAGACACTCCAGATGAGGGGGTGTCCCCAGCTCTGGGTGCCCCGGGTATGGGGTGCCCCAGATGCATTGGGGTGCCCTGTCCAGGACTCACCTGCCCTTCCTTGCAGGTGCCAAGTTCCCCATCAAGTGGACAGCCCCAGAGGCCGCACTCTTTGGGAAGTTCACCATCAAGTCAGACGTCTGGTCCTTTGGGATCCTCCTGACTGAGCTGGTGACCAAGGGCCGGGTGCCCTACCCAGGTACGGGGCAGTGGACGCCCTGGGGTGCTCCCTTGGAGGGGGTGGGGAAAGCAAGGCTTGGAATCCCACCATCATGGAATCATTTTGGTTGGAAAAGACCTTTAAGATCATCCAGCCCAACCGTTCCCCCAGCCCTGCCAAAGCCACCACTGACCCGTGTCCCTCAGCACCACATCTACACACCTACATATACCCCCTGCCTCAGTTTCCCCAGCGTGAAGCTGGGCTCCCTATCCAAACCACGGGGTTTGGCTCCCTTGGCAGTGCCTCAGTTTCCCCACTGCCTCGTCCCCTGGGGTTACTGGTTGCTGAGCCAGGGGGGTTCCTTATCCCTCAGGGATGAACAACCGGGAGGTGCTGGAGCAGGTGGAGCGCGGTTACCGGATGCAGTGCCCAGGGAACTGCCCCCTCTCCCTGCACGACGTGATGGTGCAATGCTGGAAGAGGGACCCCGAGGAACGTCCCACCTTCGAGTACCTCCAGTCCTTCCTCGAGGACTATTTCACTCCCTCAGGGATGAACAACCGGGAGGTGCTGGAGCAGGTGGAGCGCGGTTACCGGATGCAGTGCCCAGGGAACTGCCCCCTCTCCCTGCACGACGTGATGGTGCAATGCTGGAAGAGGGACCCCGAGGAACGTCCCACCTTCGAGTACCTCCAGTCCTTCCTCGAGGACTATTTCACTGCTACCGAGCCCCAGTACCAGCCAGCCCCCCCCCCGCCCCCCGCCCCGAGCCGGGCTCTGGGGTGGCTTTTTGGGGTGGCTTTTGGGCAAATCTCCCCCCTTTTTTGCAGGGGGTTGTTGCTCTCTTTGCCTGTGTCCCCATCCCCCCCACCCCCAAAAAGATAAAGCCTGTTGGGGAGGTGTTCAGGGTGCCCTGGGGGGGGACAAGGGGATTTGCACAAGCATTTTGAACTCAGGGGGCAAAAAGCTGTGCCCCCCCACCCCAGTCCCCC